ATCCGCCTGCCTCGGCCTCCCAAAGTGCTGGGATTACAGGCATGAGCCACCGTGCCCAGCCCAATAACTGACATTTCATTTTCTGAAAACAATAGACACTTGTGGATTTCGGGGACTAGGGCTGGTTTGCTAAGGTGCCTTACAATTTTCTTAACACTTTACACATAAATACTTGATTTAAGAGATTTTGCAGAATTCTTCAAACATTGGGTTTGTCTCATTTAAAGTATCTGTTTAGGCTGGCTGTGGTGGCTTATGTCTAATCCCAGAATTTTAGGTGGCTCATGAGGCGGGAGGATTGCTTTGAGTCCAAGAGTTCAAAATCAGCTTGGGCAACATGGCAAAATCCTGTCTTTACAACAAAATAAAAATAAAATATCAGTGGTGGTCCAAAGTAACATTACTGCCCAAGCTAAGGCTATCCTTGAGCCTGCCAAGAGCAGTAATTAAAGGCCCTGTTGGTTCTTCTTGGGGAGCATCCCTGTTCATACCACTAAACTCTTTATACCAAGAGAAGCTACAGAGCACTGGAAAGCTGGGGATCCATATGCACATGTTTTGGGTGGAGGGTTTGCTTTCTGAGGTTGTAACTGCAGTTTTCTTGGGCGTGTTTTTTAGACATGAGGTTTGTTTTGCATTCACAATGTTGACGCATTCAGAGTATAATTCTTACATATTGAGAAAGTGTGTGAAGTTCAGGAGTGCTGTCTCCAGGACACAGGGCTAATGAATTTCGGAGGTTATTTTGGGGTCAGAACCTTAAAGTAAATCCAGCTGAGGGTTTCTTCTGCCCGAGAATTGAAGCCTGGGAGAGGAAGTGTTTTCACACTCCAGGGGCCAATTAGGGTGTGCGGAGCTCCCGGAGTTCATTCCTGTCACTACTCAAGTGTCTCTTCCCTTCATCACCAGGGACGTTCCACTCTAGAAGTTACATGTCAAAGGGAAAGCCTGGACCTCAAGCATGTTAAGGTGTTTAACCTCTCGAATATGGGTTTTCCTTGTGAATTGTGGGGAAGCAGCCTGCTTATCTGAGCTAATTAGAATATTTATGTTTGCTTTGGATTATTTTATCTGTTGAATATTATGGCCCTTCAACTCTGGTTTCCTTTATCATTTTATAATTTTATTGCCAGTGTCAGTGTGTAAGATTTTAGTTTCTTTCACTTTGAAAAGGAAGGTTGTTAGATATGGTGGGAGTAAGGCAAGAACTTTCTGGAACTAAAAATGTTTCTTGAGGCCAGAGAACATCAAGATACGAGATGGGTATATTTAAGGTACTTTTTTCATTTTTAGATCAGTTTTTATATGTGAAGGTCCATAGAGAACTTTGAAATTTGAAAGGGTATACAGTTGCTAAGACAAATGAATTCCAGATTCCATTGGTAAGAGGAAAACACAATTGAATTCCTGTTTTAATTGATGTGAGGAAAACTACTAAAGTTTATATAATCTTTGAAACTCCTGTTATATTTAAGGGATTAGGCCTAAATCCATAATGCATTTATTTATTGAGATAGAGTCTCCCTCTGTCGCCCAGGCTGGAGTGCAGTGGCACAATCTTGGTTCACTGCAACCTCCCAGGTTCAAGTGACTCTCCTGCCTCAGCCTCCCCTCAGTAGCTGGGATTACAGCCATGCGCCACTACACCCAGCAAATTTTTGTATTTTTAGTAAAGACAGGGTTTCACCATGTTGGCCAGGCTGGTCTCAAACTCCTAACCTCAAATGATCTTCCCACCTTGGCCTCCCCAAGTGCTGGGATTATAGACGTGAGCCACCACACCTGGCCTAGAATCCCTATTTAATGTTTGCTAACAACATAGGACTCACCCTTCCCTTTTTTTCTTGTGACCCACACCTGGACAAGCTGATGAGTCTAAGGGCTACCTTCTCTGTCATAGGCAACAGATTTAAACCACGCAAACACCTGCCCTTATAGTGCCCAACTCTACCCCAACCACAGTAACCAACCAGGCCGGGCTCCTTTCTTTGCTCTCTCAGGCCATTTCAGTTATGCTTGATGGGTCTGCCCTGCTCTCCCCCAGATCTCAACAATGTGAGCAATAAGCCTTTTAATACCCCTTTGTGAGTGCCAGACCATCATCAGTTTCATCAGAACTACGTCTCTGAAGGTGACCACAAGGATTGGTGCCGTGAGCATGTTGTCCAGACACTGATCGCCACTTGTTGGTCCTTCATCTCTTTATTTATATATTTATTTTTTTTAAGGAACTGATTAATATTTATTATAATCCTACTATCAGTCTGCCTCCTAACTCTAGCCTCAACAGGCTTTAAATCCAAAGGCTTAAATACATTTGCCAATATGTCAAAAAGAATCTTTATTACTTTTTTTGATTGCCACGTATGCTTTCTTGCTAGATGCCTTTGGAGCAGGTGTTTCTGAGCTTTTTGACCCTTCTGAGCTTTTGGAGCAGGCGCAGCCTTCTGGCCTGCGGCTTCCTGGGCAGGAACCTTCTTACTCGCGTGGTCGTCTTTTTTGCTGGAACTTTAGCAGCACCTGCAGCAGCAGCAGCAGTACCCTTAGTACCAGGTGCTTTTTTGGGGGAAGCTTTCAGGAGAGCTGCCTTTTGAAGCTTCTTAACTTCATTCTTGATTATTGTGTTCCTCATTTTCTTTGCCTTCATAACTTTAAAACAATCAAAATCTGTCATCTTGGCTTTCCTTTCTCTGGCTTCAATCTGCTTGGCCCATCATGTGGCTGCCCATTTTGTATTGATGTCTGCCTTCTGCCAGGCTTGTCGGACATACTTCTGGCGGGCACTGTGTGGAAACTTGAGGATGAAATCAGTGAGCTGCATGCACTTGAAAGGCATGGCCTGTCTCCTCACTTGAGTGCAAGGTCCATCGACCAAAGCCCTGTTCTGATCA